GTCCTGCTTGCAAAAGTCCTGAAGATCCCTTCAGGAATCAGGCCATTCCTTCCACATTGGTCTTATTCTCCCCCCTGACCTACCCCAGGGCCTTTGCACCTATAGTTCCCTCTGCTCAGAGCCTTGTTCTCCTAGCTCTTCCTAATGCTTTCTCCTTTTTGCCTTTCAGGTCCAGCTCAGATGCCACCATCTCAGAGTGACCTTCCCTGACCATGTCGAGCAGCCCAGACCCCGCTTACCTTTGGTCTCACCTCACTGTTGAGCTCTATTTTACTGCTCTCATTACTCTGGACTATCTCCCTGGAGTGTGATCTCCAGGAAGGCCAGGACTGGTATGAAATTGTCCCTGCTAGAGTCTCAGTGTCCAGAAGAATAGAGCAGCAGGTGCTCAGGAGATGTGTGGGTACAAGCAGAGCTTTGGAGATACACAACTTTGGGTCTGAGTTACACCTCCCCACTAACCATCTACAGAACCGTCAAGGAGTCTCTTAGTGTCTTTGACCCTCAGTTTCCTCATCTGCAAATGGGGACAGCAGTACCTATGCGATGCAGCTATTAGGGTCTAAAGATGACTAAGTAAGTATAAAGCACTCAGTACAGTGTCTGTTATTAGCAGAGCCTCAGAGAATGAGAATGGCCTCTTCGCTTGCATGTATTCAACGACAGGCAGCTCATTCCCTCCCAAGGTGGGCTTGTCCACCTCTGAACCACGGCTGACATCTGCCCAAATATGTCTCCCATGGTGTCCTTCCTTTGGTCCTGGCTCAACCACGTCCCCCCCCCCCCCCCCCCCCCCCCGCCCCCGGAGTCTCTTGCTATTCCACCACGTTGATTGATTGAGCCTATTTCGGCACAGCAGGAACACTAAAGGCGGATGTGATGTCTGGCCTCGAATGAGTCCCTTAACTTCACTGAGCCTCAGTTTCTTCCTCTGTAAAATGGGGCCAGCAATAGTACTTACCTCATTAAGTACTCATGGGCTCACATAGACTTAGCACCTGGCACAGAGAAAAGTGCTCCTGAACCAGCCACTATGATTACTATTACCCTGCCTGGTGCCTGGCCACTCCCAGATCCAGCGTCTGCAACTTTCGGGTCCACAGCCATTTCTAGTGAAGCCCAGGCCCCTCTCCTGAACGCTCTCCAGCCGAGCTGGAAAAAGGGCCAGTCTGTTTGGGTCATCCACCCCATCTTTACACGCAGCCGTCAGAGTGGACTCTCCCCGTGGACTCAGCACTTTCCCAAGCACCTCTCTCCCCGCCCCCCGTCCCCCCCCAGGGGACTACCTGACCCTGGGCAGTCACTCCGTTTGCTGAGCTTGGAGGTCGAGGCCCTAAGCCTCTGGGACACAAACTGCCTTGTACTGGGGGGGGGCGGGGAGGGACTGAGTGTCCCCAGCTGGGGTGGCTTCTGCCAGCTCCCTGGGTGGCCTGGACCCAGCCCTCCTTTTAGTATTGTTTTTTAAAGAGAGTCTTGATGGTCATAAAAGTGGTGACAGTGGGGCCCTAACAGGGGAGTAGCAGCAAGGGAGGAGGAGGAGGACCAGAACAGTGCAGTGTCCTGAAAGCCAGGGGGAGAGGGGGCAGGGCTGGAGGGGAAACCAGATCTGCCCTGGCCCCACAGCCCACTGCCTGAGACTGTGACTAGGATGGGCAGGCCCTCCTGAGAATTTGCAAATGTAACTAAGGCTCTGATCAGTGGCCCTGAGACCCCTGGAGGGTCTGGTCTAATCACAGGAGCCCTGGAAAACAACTCTGGCCGGTCCAGCAGGTGCATCCCGGTCCGGAGAGATTTGGCGTGGGAGAGAGATTCAAAGTGGCTGAGATGCAGGGATCATGGAGCAAAGACCTGGGAGCCCAGAAGGGCCCCCGGCCAACAGGCAACGAGAAAGTGAGGACCTCAGTCCTGCGGCTGCAAGGAACTGACTCCACCAGCAACGTGAACAAGTCTGAAAACAGATTCTTCCTCAGAGGCTCCAGAGAAGATCCCGGGCCTTGATTTCAGCCTTCGGAGACTCAGAGAACCCAGACTTCTGAACTACGGAGCGTCTAGACTGGAACAGGAAACACCTTAAGAGACAGGCTAAGAATCTGGGGCTAGACTGTGGGGGTCTTAAGGACCTCCCAGGGATGAGGAGCAAGGTCAATGTGTGTTTCAATGCCATCATTTGACCTTGCCATTCTAAGTATCCCAAAGCCAGGAGAGTGTTTCCAGGTGAAATCATGAGGGCTTTCTAGGAGGGCCATCCGTGAACCCCGCTGAGCACGCTGGGGGCACCAATAGCTTCTGGATGCACAGGAGTGCCACACTCCGAGCAGCATTTTCCCTGAGCAGGGGCTGTGTGGAGCCGGGCAGCTGGTACCTAGGCCCAGACAGGCTTCCCCAGTCCCGGGTGTCCTTGTGTATCACCAAACGCAGCCTGCAATTCTTGGACAGTCTGTGCCTCCAGTCCTGCGTCCTGAGGCTGCCAACCCCTCTGACCTGGGAACAGGGTGGCTGGGCCTTGGCCAAGGTCAGAGGACCAGCTGGCCCTTTGTGAGGACGGATGCTCTGACTCAGTGTCTCTGGCCAGAGGATGGGGCTTGGACTCAGAGTGGGTGCCTTTTCCCCGTGTGATCATTCAGACTCCTGCTGTCCTCAGTTAATCACCACCTCTCCTACGGGCTTCACATTTTAGAAAATCTTTTGTTTGCAGCAAGATTTCACGGAGGTGCAGGCACATGGGGTCCCAGACTGAGAAATACTTAGTTTCATGCTCTGCCATTGCTGCCTTGAGACTCTTGACGATCTCTGAACAAGGGCGTTGCATTTTCATTTTGCACCAGACCCTGCAATATGCACACACATTCTGCTATCTCCCCTCTCCAGAATGTCAGCAGAGGGGCAGTGAGCACACCCATTTTACAGGTGGACCCTGTGGGCGCCTCCAGCAGAGGGACCTGGCTGGAATGAACACCTTCCAGGAGCAGGCACAGGGTCTGGGGAGACGCTTCGTAAATACTGCTGCAAAAGAACAGAACTTGCCCTCCAAGAATGGATTGCGAGTACTCTGCTTTTCAGACCCTCACCCCGCCTGTTTTCCTGGAGGACGGCCACGGCACAGCGCTGCAAGCGCCTGTGAGTCCCGGAGGGCTGGGCTGCCCGTGTTCTTGGCTGTATCCTCAGGGCCCAGGACGGTCATGGCCACATGTTCAGTGGGCACCCAGTGAGTGTCGTTAAGTGAACAGAGAATGGACCGGGCTTAGAAGAGATGACATACTTGCCCAAAGTCTTGAGCCAGGAAGCGACAGACCTGGGCTCCAAACTGGGTCAGTGGACTCCGAGTCAAGTGCTCACCCCTTGGCCACACAGCTGCCTCCAGGCTCTCTGACCCCGCTTCTGGGAGCCATCGGACCAGGGCGCAGGTGATGGACATTGACTGCAGGTTGGGAGCTGACCCCTGCCCTGTCGCTTCAAGGGGCCATTTGATAGGAAATCGAGTGTCCCTTGCAAACTTGCTGCGTGTAGCAGACACCGTGGATGCCCCGCCCAGGACCCCCCGCCCGGACCACCTGGTCCACGCCTTCAGGCTTCCACCTAGTAGCACCTGCATATCTCACTCAAGCATCCTTTGCCACATTAGAGGCCACATAAGTGCCAGGGAATCATCAGCCTCCCAGGAGCAGCCCTCAACCACTGACTGATGTCCCCCTCCTGTAACAGGACGACTCCGAGGCTCGTCCCACACTGGCGTTCCAGTCCCCAGCCGGCTTTGAGCTTCGGCTGCCCACAGGGCTCACTGGCCCGAGAGCGCGCCCTCTCTTAGCTGACTTCCCTCTTCTGTTTCACTTCCCTACCCGCCCCCGCCACGTTTTGTGGGATCCCTTCCTGCATTCACCGCGTAAACTCAAATTCTTGCCTGTTCCCCGGGGGAACCCACACCAAGACTCACAGCCTCATTTCTTTGGAGCTACCTTCTCCTGGGGCCTCCTCGCAAGCCCTCCCGGGTGTTGTCACTCAAGTCATTTCCGGGGGCAAGGAAGTGTGGCCGGGGCTGCTGGCTGCCACAGGACCCGTTTCCCCTTCTTCCTGGGAACGGGGCCAGAAAACATTTCCCAGCCTGTGTGAAGGGACAAGTGGCCAGGGGACCAAGCGCTGGCCAATATAACGTGAGGAGCGTCTACCACTGGCAGGCCCGACTGGTAGAATGTTCCATGTGTCATCTTTCATGGTCTTTCTGCTTGCACCTCAGCGCACATGACGCCGGTGGCCCCGATGGCGATGGCGGAGCCACCCACAGATGCAGCCTGGGCCCCCGAATCACCTCTGGGCGGAGAGCCATTTGCCCAGGAAGAATGACAGCTGTGTGTGGATTTTCAAGAGCGAGGAATACACTATTGTGTTTGAGCCATTGTATGTTTTGGGATTTGTTAAGGCAGCAAATATTTACTAATTCAGAGGACAAGAGGCTGGGCCTCAGGAGGTGGGCAGGCCTCAAATGAGTGCTGATTGCTTCCTGTCTGAGTGCCCTGAGCAGTCCTTAATCTCCCTGCAGCCTGTCCTATAGGAATCACTGTCCCATGCTATGGATGAGGAAACTGAGGCCCAGAATCACAGGGTTGGGTCGTGATAGAAAGGGCATTCAATCTGACCCCAAATCCGGTTTATAGCTCACAGAAGGACTCCAGATCTTTCTAATGCCCTCTCTCTCCAAATGTCCTTGTCCTGGTTGCCAACACCCTCAAGGCTCTGTGACCTCAAAGTTGCTGAGAATTTGGCCACGTCACTGCTGATGGCCAGGACCTGCTCATGGGAGAAAGGGGCCGGAATGCCTCTGTCCATTGTCCCGGGGGGCATTTTAGGGGCCGCTGCCAGCAAGTGGGGTGATGTCTGGGCCAGTCTCATCTTTAGGCTCCATTCTGGTCCCCAGGGCAGCCTCCCACTGTCCCAACTTGAGAAGGAAGCAGCCCTTAGTCCCGTCTCTACGTGGCATGAAATGCCCCATGACCCGTTAGGGACATGTTAGTGTATTAGTCAGGGACCCTACAAGTACAATTGTCAGATTCGGAAAGAAAAAGAATGTATATATAGTTCAATATGAATTTCAGATAAACAAGCAAGGAATTGTTTAGGGTAAGTATGTCCCATGCAATATTTAGGACATACTTACACTATGAGTATCGTTGCTTATCTGAAATTCAGATGGAACTGGGCCCCCTCTGTTTTATCTGACGACCCCAACTGCAAAACCCAGCAGCAGGCACACGCGTAAAGTAAATAAAGAGAAGTAATGAATTGGTAGAGGTGTGGGCAGGGTCAAGGGCACCAAGACAGAGGGAGGCATCCGGAGTCTAGCCTGTCAACAGGCGCTGCAGCCTTGGAGGATGGAACCCTGTCAGAGCCCTGGTGGAAAGCAGAGGAGAAGCTGGAGAAATAAATAGCCTCCCTTTCCTCTTGTCCTGCCCACCTGACCTCCCATTGGTGGACCCAGTCAAAAGCCACAAGGCAAGGACGCTTGGACAATGCTCCGTCAGCCTGCTGGGCACAGAGCTGGGCACAGAAGGACAGAGCGGGGACCTGACAGCAAATGAGGAAGCCAGCTCTGTCCAGAAAAGGAAACTAGGGTTTCTTAATCTCCCTTGGGCTCTGTCCCCTTGGTGGTACTTAAAAGAGGACACTCCTTGCCAAGACGGACAGGGACAGTCACAGATACCACACCCGGGCCCCCAATCCTCCTTTAGGAAGCTCTGTTAAGAGCCCAGCAAGAGGCTCAGAGTGGAGGTCACGCACAGGTGGCCAGATGTCCACGGGGGTGGGGGTGCCTCTCATCCTCACGGCATGGCTGTGACTGACTCCAAGCTCATCAGGTTCTCTGGACTCTTGCATCCAAACCCTCCCCTAAGATTTCTACCGATTCCTGGGGCCCATGAGCCCCCTGCTGTCTCCACCCAGACCTGCCCCTCCCCCGGCAGACTTGGGGCCTATAGCAGCCACCATCCAGGAGCCCGGCCTGTCCTCCACACCCCCTGCTCCCTCTGCCCTCCTCCCTGGCCCAAATTCATCACCCTGTCGCCCTGAGGAGGTGGGAGTCAAGTCCACCCCACACTTTCATCCAAGTATTTCCCAACAAAGACAGCTGTCTCCCCCTCCCC